GGGGGGGGGGGGGGGGGGCGGCACAACCGTGAGACAGGCCTGTGCGTGGGCGGAGGCCCGGGGGAGGGATGACCACGGCGGAGGCGAGTCAAGAGGCGGGTCCGAGACAAGGGGGGCCAGACGGCGGGAAGACTATGGTGCTGGCGCTTCAAAGCCCGGCATGCCCCTGCTGCTACTGCTGCTGCTCCTGTTGCTGTTGCCCGGCCCCGTTCCCCCGCGCCTTCCCGACGTCCGGGGAGTGTGTTGTAGAATGGCCTGACAGCCGCCGCGCTGGCCCTTCTCCCCCGGTGTCCAAACTCGCTGGCACTCTCTCGGCTCTCCAAGGGTTCTGCTCTCCCTGCCACTCTCTCTCTCTCCCTCTCTCTGTCCCTCTATCTCTCTATCTGCCCCGCTGCCGGCCGGGGGGCGGGCAGCGGCAGCGGGGCGCCCAGTCATCCAGCAGCAATGGCGACAGGCGCCGCGGTCCGCGCCCCGCGGCCCAAGAGGTGCGCAGGATGGGCTGATTCTCCGGCGGGTAGTCATTCCCGGAGATGTCTGCATGTTGATGAGCGCACCCGGCGAAACGCGAGGGCACATGGAGGTATGTCCGTGCCTGGCCTGCCCTGAGCACCATGGGCGCGCGTACGCGCGCTTGTCAGCACCTTGCCGGGGCTTGCCCGGGTGTCACCCTTGTGTGTCTGCTCGTGCGCTGGCCCCCCCCCCCCCCCCCCCCCCCCCCCGCGGGCGACCCCCCCCCCCGGCGCGCGCAGGGCGGCGCAACGCCTATGCCGCCGCGGTGGGTCTTGGCGCGCTTGCCGGGGCCGGCCCCCTGGCCCTCGCTTCCCCCCCCTCCGCCCGCCGCCTCGGGCCGGGGAGCCGGCGTGTGCCGACCAATCGAGCCCCTCCTCCCCGGGCATGACTGTGTGCCCTGGCGCGGGCCCCTCCCCGGCGCATTTGCCGCACCCATTCCTGGGGCCCGGCCGGGTTCAAAAGGCACGCCGATATTGATTTGACCCCCGCCCGGATGCGGCCGGACGCCGGCGGCACACTGCCGGGGGTTCGGGCGCCCGGCCGGCGGCCGATGCAGTGAGATCCCCGCTGCCCCGGCCCCGGCGGCCGTCCTCGAGGGGGGGCGGGGGGGG